GCTCCTCTGAGCATGAGAATTTAAGCAGAAATCTGAAGGGTAGAAGTTAGGAAAAGGAAGAGAGCACGAGGGAATAGCCTGTGTGAGGGTCCTAAGTAAGGAAGTAGTGTGATTCAAGAATCAAAAATAAGCCATGGTCAGGTGGCTCAGTTGGTTGGTGCATGATCCCATACACCAAAAGTTTGTAGGGTCGATCCCCAGCTGCGGTCGTGGGTGGGGTGTACAGGAGGCAACAGATCGATGTTTCTCTTTCACATTGACGTTTCCTCTCTCTCTAAAATCAATGAAAAAATGTATCCTCAGGTAAGGATATAAAAAAAGAGTAAAAAATAAGGTCAATCTAACTAGAATACGGAGTGCTAGCTAAAACCATGGGGTTGGTGACAAAGGCCAACCTACTGTATGTTTCTAAGAAATATTTCACACGTGACAGGTAATACTGAACAAGGGCTTTCTGTGTCTTTGAAAAAATGTCTATTCATATCCTTTGCCCATTTTCAATCAGATTATTCGTTTTTTGGTTATTGAGACATAGAGATGGCCAACAGGCACATGAAAAATGTTCAACATCACTAATTATTAGGGAAATGCAAACCAAAATCACAATGAGATATAACTTCACACCTGTTAGAATGGCTATTATCAAAAAGGCAAGAAGGCCCTGGCCCATAGCTCAGTTGGTTAGAGCATTGTTCTGATACCTCAGGGTTGTAGGTTCTATCCTTGGTCAAGGCACATTCAAGAATCAACCAATGGGTGCATAAATAAGTAAAACAACAAATTGATGTTTCTCACTCCCTCTCTTTTTCCTCCTTCCCCACTCTCTAAAATCAATTTTAAAAAAAGACAAGAAATCACAAGATCTGGAGAAAAGCAACCCCTTGCTTACTGTTGATGGGAATGTATTTTGGTACAGCTACTATGGAAAACAGTATCAAGATTCCTCAAAAATTAAGAATAGAACTACCATATGATTCAGGTATTCCACTGCTGGGTATTTATCCAAAATATATGAAAACACTAATTCAAAGAGATACATGCACTGCTAAGTTCATTGCAGCATTATTTTTAATAGCCAAGATATGGAAAAAACCTAATTGTCCATTAATGGATGAATGGATAAAGAATATATAATATACATGTATATATGTGTGCATAGATATTATATATTGTTATATATTATATATATCCTAGCTGAAATGGCAGAATTAAAATAATTCAGATCACAAATGAGTCAAGAAAAATGTATGTAAAAAAACTAGTGTTAATTAAAATATAAGTACCTCCATAATACTTAGTACAATACAGACAAGTTACAAGCTACTTTTACCTTAAAAGTTCTCTTATGAACACTCCAAGTCATTTTTACATTTGTCTTCTCTACCCATGAGGTCATAGCCTTCCTGCATGCAGCCCATCTAATTTCTCACCTGTGTAGCTCTTAGAGGTCCAGCATAATGGTAGAGAGGTAGTAGAGTGCAGAATCTAACAAGTGGATTCTGAGAATCGCTTTGCCTAAATTTAAATCTTGGCTCCCTTACTTCCTATGTTATTTGGGGCACTTTATTTACTTAATATTTCTGAGTCTGTTTATTCTTTGTCAAAGAGAGATAATGATATCCCCTACTTTATAGAATTGTTGGGTAGATTAAAAATCAGAAGTAGAATGCTTAGCAAAGAACTGATATGTAGTTAGCAATAATTGTATCTTATAGGTGCTTAATATTTGTATAATAAATTTTTTGTGAATATCTTGCCCAAGGTGATTAGTTGTTTTTTAAAAATATAATCCTTTCCTTTGCCTTTCAGGAATAATCTAATTGAATATAATTAAAAATGAATTTAGTCTAAAAGTATAGTGATGATTTCTAGCTTTAAGTTAGTATGTCAATTAGGGTCTCAGCAAAAAGCGAATGACATACTCAAATTGGTATAATCCCAGGGGGGTTTATTTACAGACAGATTCTTCACAGCGATAGGAGAATCACAAGGAAAAGGAAGAATCTAATTAGGGCTTACTAGCGCTGGCTATTCCTTCTAGGCCCCAGGCGATAAAGAGAGGGAGCAGCTGAGGGACCCCAGGAGAGAATCCGGTAGTTGGCTGCTTTGACAGGGCAGTAATTTTCTGTTGAATGGCACAGCCAGCCCAAGGCAACTTTGCCAGGAGCAACCCAGGGTAATAATTACTTGACCTCCCCATCTTTCTCTTCTCCAGTCCCCTGCAGGGGCTCCTCAAGGCCCAAACCAATCAGAAACCAGAGAGCAAGGAACCCCCTCCATGCAGTATAGTTCATTCAGATCAACTTTCTGGGCAGAGAGCAGGGTGGACGAGGTAGAGAACAGATCCGGAGGAGACAAAGGGAGATAACTGGTACCATGTCAGGAGTGTCATTAGCAGGTGTGTGGTGTTGTGACTGTAAAGTAAGAGACTGGTGCACGATCCAATTGGATGTCATTTAAACATAAGCAGTGTGACGCTCCCATATTGATAGAATGTGAACAGAATTCTAAATAACTTCAAGCAGTAAATAGCTTTATTGAATATGTTGGTAAATCAAATAGTGAAACAACCTAGGTAGGAGGTTAGAGGCTAACATCACACTTAGGAGTTAGGTAATATGTATTAATTGAATCCAGGTAACATGGGCAGTGAGCCCATCCCATTCAGAGGGTACTGGCTTGGAACTCCTATTGGCACCGCAGACATAGAAGAGGACTGTGCTTCTCATTCCAAGTCATGCCGAAGATGACCCCAGAAGTCTGTTCTTCCAGATCTCATCCTCACAACCAACCTAGAAGGCACCCCCAAATTGCTTGTATGGGTAACCCCAGATCACTTGGGGGTTACTTGTTTCCTTGAGTGTGACTTTTAACTGCACAAAGATTTGTGATTAAGTGTAGAAATGATGAAGTAAATCAAACTCACCTACTATTTTCCAGTTAGGTTTGAGAATATAACACATTCACAAACATATGTATTCTGTTTATGTTTTTCAGTATTTAAGATATATAACAGATTTTGGACTATGAGATTTGCTTTGTGACCTGTTAGATTGGCTTTGCAGGTGTGTGATTCCAATTTTTAAAAACATTTTATGATAGCCCTGGCTGGTGTGGCTTAGTTGGTTGGAGTGTTATCCTGTAACCAAAAGGTTGAGGGTTTGATTTCCACTCGGGGCACACACCTACTAGATTGCAGGTTCAGTCCCCAATCGAGGTGCATGTAATCCCCGGCTGGGGGGAGTAAGAGAGGCAACCAATTGATGTTCCTTTCTCATATCCATGTTTCTCTCCCTTTCTCTCTCTGAAGACAATGGAAAAATGTCCTGGAGGGAGGGTAGTGGAGAAAATTTCAAACACACACAGAATTAAAAAGAATAGTATAATAAACTACCATGTACCTGCCATTTAGTTTCAACAATTATTAGTTCATGGCCAATTTTGTTTCATCTGTACTCCCCATATGTACCTTCTCCTATATTGTTTTTAAGCAAACCTCAGGCAACCTATAATTCATCCATAAATATCTCAGCAGGAAATGCTGGAGCCCTGGCTGGTGTGGCTCAGTTGATTGCAGTGTCGTCCTATAACGGAAAGGTTGTGGGTTCGATTCCCCATAGGGCACATGCGTAGGTTGCAGGTTTGATACCTGGTCCAGGCACGTACAGCAAGCAAACAACTGATCTTTCTCTCTCCCATGGATGTTTCTCTCCCGACCTTCCTCTCTCTCTTAAAAGCAATGAAAAAATGTCCATGGGTGAGGATTAAAAAAAGTAATAATAAAAAAAGAAATGCTAAAAGATATACACTCTTTTTCTAACATAACCGTAACATCGTTACATAACTGAAACAAATTGACAACGATTACTTAACATCATGGAATATCCAGTGAACATGCAATTTTCTAAATAGCTCATAAATGTCGTATTTTCTTTTTTGCTTGTTTTGAGTCAGGATCCAAGTTAGATCCATACCTTTCAGTTGCTTAATATCATTTTTAAGTCTCTTTAATTTGTTAAGTCCCTCATTTATTCTCTCTTTTTTCCTCTTGCATTTATTTGTTAAAGTTTGTTTGTCTTATAGAGATTCCCACAACCTAGAGTTTGTTTAGTGCATTCTCAAAACAAACTAACATTTGCAAGTCCCTTGTGTTTTCTGTAAATTGTGATTCCAATTTGAACTTGTCATTAGGTAACTGGTTTATACCTGTGATTCTATGTTGTGGGGTGTAAAAGAATTGTATTAGGTCTGGAAGCAGAATTAGAACATTCAATAGAAGTCTCACTATATTAAACTGTTTTTAATTTATAAGAATTATTAGGTCCTTGGGAATATTTATCCATCAGAAAATCAAAGGGCTGGAAATAAAAATTAAATATTTTAAGTTTCTAAGTGCAATTTAAAATTCTTAAATGTATTTAATTTACTGTTATGAAACGTTCCCTTAATAGTTTTATTTTAGTTGCTAGTCTTATCAATAGAATAAGAATCGTAAACTGAACTTTGAAAGCATAAGCAAAATCGAGACTTTACTGTTACTTAAAAAAATTGAATGTTAATTAAAAACTAATCTGTAAATAATCTCCTTGTGCAGGAAAGATGCTTCAAAGACACCAAAATACTCATATAAGCATAAAGATGTTTTTGTCCTCTTTTCTCAAAAACCATACCTGAACAATGAGAATACGGATGGAAGCCAGCAGATACAGGCATAGCACCTGACTTAAAAGAACACACGGAAGTTTAGCCAAGGCTTAAGTAATTGGTGTCACAAGTGTCTGGGAAGATGGAGTGAGGAGGGGGCTGAAAATTTACAGAATGTTTGAAAGTCAGTGTAAGGTTCGATTAGATCTCCGATTCCCATACTCGTGAGTCCACCCTAGTCAGAAATGGGAATCTGAATCTGAGAGGATCTGAACTCATGAATACCACACCTAGGGGAGGGCAGGGGAGAAGTCCCTGAACAGAAAACTGGTGAGTCCCCTGGCTCCCTTCCTTACCTGGCTCCAGAAATGCCAGCACCATCTGTATTCTGAGTCCGAGCCACCCAATGTCCTTCCAGTGAATTCCTTTTCTGTTTAAGTCAGTCTGAGTCCGTTTCTATGCCTGCAACCAGGAATCCTGAATAAAATTAAAACATTTATAATAATTTAGTTAATGTACGTCTGAATCCATTCTCTATGAGAGGAATTCCATGGCTGCTTTGGCTCACCATTTCATTTGCAGAATCTTGTATCATGCCTGGTGCTTAGTAGGCACTCACTAAATGTGTATTGAACTACTGAGTGGGTGACGCCTTCCCTGTATCTTATATATATTCTTCATTGTATCTTAATATTACAATTGCAGAACTTATCACATCAACTATATTAATATAACCATCTGTTTAAGATCAGAGATCCTACCTTGCTCATTTTTTAAACCCAGGTCCTAGGGAAGGTCTAGTACATACTAGGTAGAGAATGAAGGAGGCAGGAAGGACAGCATATGTGCCAGGCATTATATTACTGCTGGATACACAACACAAAGAATGTGGTGCCCCCTGCCTTAGAAGAGTGTGCAGTGTGCTGAGAGTAACAGGTGAACAGATTACTACGATGGACACTTGTTAGAGCATAATGTGCAAGACGTTTTGTAGAAGGTAGAGAAGACTTCTTAGCAGAGGGTGAGAGACCCACAGGAAGATGAAGCAGGGAACTGCAGGTGAGAAGGCAAGATGATGTGAGTGAAAAGGAAACAAGATGTCAAAATTATCTAACAAGGTGTTAGGGTCTAAGTATGATTGATCACAGGATATTCAAAGCAACAAGATTATTCAGACTGTGGTCTGAGGCTGCCTTTGAGATAAAAAGTAAGCACTAGGTTAAGAAAATGTCAAGTGTTTTTGTGATTAGAAGGTAAGAGAAGTTTTCTGACTGGTGAATTTATTTATTTACTTTTAAAGATGTTATTTATTCCTTTTTAGGGAGAGGGGAAGGGAGGAAGAGAGAGAGGGAAATATTGATGTGAGAGAGAAACATCCACGGCTTGCCTCTGGTACCTACCCTCATCTGGGACCGAACCACAACTGGGGGTCAAACTGGCCACCCTTCACTTTGTGGGACGACACACAACTGAGCCATACTGGTCAGGGCCTGACTGGTGAATTTAACATAATGAGCTGAGTCTGCTCAGCCTTGTCTTTTTCCCTCCTCTCTTTCATTTTATCTCTCCCTTCCCTCTAAGTGACTGGGAGGCTATCCCTGAACTTGGGGAGATGGTGGGTGGGATATTAAGAAGCCCAAATTACTGCTGACTTAATAGCTGTGTTCTCTAATCAGTTTTATTGGTAATAAGCAATATTTTTATCTCCATCTCTTTCAATTGGTTATAATTTCAGGAGGGGAAAGGGGGAGCTAATTATTGGTGAGGGAAAAGTGGAGGAATATTTAGAATGGGGTCGCTTTAACCAAGCTGCTAAAATTATTAACATTATGAAGGTAGAGGCATGAGGAAATGATTTTGTTCTTGTTCTTACTAGTCTGGGAACTTAAAACTTTTTGAACTTGCCAGTTCTGTGTCAATGCCTGGATGCACTAGACCTCCAAATAACCCTCTGATTACTCCCTTGAAGGACTCATGTGTCCAGACTGCGTGACATCCATTATTCAGACCACAGGATGTGACCAGTCCTCCTGGCACCCATCCTTGGTACCACGTGGCACGTGTCATCCAGACTGCCTGACATCTGCCTGATAACCGTCCTCCTAGGGCTAAGAATGCAGGACTGATAATTGTCAAGAATATACTTTTATTATAAGAACTCTTTTCTTTCTTCTTTGGAACACTTCTGGGTTTTTGTTTGGAAACTCTAAGACTCTTTCTAAAATCTTTATGATTTATTTCTAGGCAAAACCTCCAAACTCTTTTTTTGAGTTTGTTTGACATTGGCCTCCTAAAATCTGGAATACTGACCAATCTGGAATACTGAACACTTGGGCCAACTTAAGCCTCAACAACCTGGAGCAAGAGAATTAGAATAGGCAGGAGAAAATGGGGATCAAAAGGATGAAGAAAAACAGAAACAAGAAAGTATACATCAAGGATATTGTTGCAACTGTTTTGTTTTCTTGAGCAGATCAGATAACATAGGACAGTGCCCGTCAAGCTTTGGACTTGTCATTGGTATGCAGGGAGCTGGCTAGGCCTCAGAAGGATCTTGGGTGGGGCCCTTGCAACTGTATGTTTAAACAGCCTCTGCGGTGATTAGTACTGCAAAGCTTGAAAACCTCTGCTTAAGAGTAGATTGGACCCCAAATCATTGTACTCAGAAATAAAACAAAGGTTCCAAAACATTTTTAATCATCCTGGAACCAGGAGGGCAGTTTTCTGGAGAAAGCGAGTGATTCAACTGGGAAGCAGATGAGAAATCAATAGATTCCTTGAGAGAGGAAGGTGACTGCAGGGGAGGAGGGGTGATGGGAGTACCCTGTAATGAGACCTGGGTGGAGCACGCCAGGTGGGAAGGGATGGGGGAACAGTTTAAGCTGGGCAGACCAAAGCACAGGTGGAGCTGTGCAGCAACTGCAAGTCAAGGACATGGTATACAGCTCTCTGGGGAACTTGAAAGGACGGCACCAAGCAAAAGAGCTTTGCTTCCAGATTTCCTGTTCCAGCCAGGCTTCTTGCCGAATGTCTTGAGTCACCATCTCTGGAATCCTGTTTCCAATGGGCACTGGCCCAGAGAAAGGAATACCCTCTCCATCTACCTTTACAGAGACATCTGGAAATCAACATTGGGCTCTACAGAATGCCTTCAGGGGTGCATGGACTTAAAGGCTCTGTGGATGAGATAACATTAAAAAATTCACTGTAAAACATAGAGCACTAAGTAAAGGTTAAGTGTCACTACTTTGATTCTCTTGGGCCTTATCTTTCCAGAGGCTTTCCAGCTCAAGATAGTGTTCCCGTGAGCCTGGATGCCCCAACTCAGATCCTTGTTACAGGCTGGCATTGTGTGGGTTAACAGTGTGTAGGTGCTTAGCTATTTATACTGAAGTCACAAATATGAAGCAGCAGGCATTCCTTTTTCTTTAAAAATCAGTGTGCAATCTCTTCTTCCTCCCACACCCGCTTCCTCCCTGAATCAGTGTTCATGAACCCTCTTCTCACAAATACTTCTGTCTTGATCGCCTACAGTTTCCCTATGTTTCAAGAAACAATAAGGGTAGTTGCAAACAAATACTTCTGCTTGATGGCTATTGCTCATGAATTAAAACAGGGCCTCTATTAAAGGTGGCTGATTTCCAAACCAATCTACTCTATGTTGTCTCTGAAAAGCATTAGAAGGCTTGTGAAGAAAAAGCTCTGTTGCCATATATCAAGTCAAGTTGAAAAGTTTAGGGATGAACATGCACATCCTATGCTTTCTATAAGCATTTACTTATGGATCATGAATCTACATCACTCATTCTCAAACAGGTATTTATTTTCAGACTGCAGTCACTGATTCATTTCCTTCACAAATATTTTTTGGGAGCTCTCATTTCACAGTTCCTACACTGAAGCCCCAGGGGTACAGTGGTGATCAAGATGAAAGAAATCATGACTCTGAGGAGCTCAAGTATAAATGTCCTAAGATATTACGTGCAGGGTTATGCATCTGCTATTCCAGAGCCAAAGTAGGGAATCTGGAATATTACGGGGTCAGGAGTGGGGAAGAAACAGAAGGCAGTGAAATAATGTTCTGATGAGTAAATTATTTGCATAGTACAAGATTCCTCTAATTCCTCCAACACAGCATTCTTGCTTTCTCTTTCCTTATATTATAACTAAAAGGCACTTGTAGTTTGCGTCTGGGAAGGAACAGAGACTGGAAAAAAAAAAGCATGGATGAGAGTGAGACCTAATGAAGAGCTGAAGATTAATTACCTAAGAGTTCTGCCTTGCACTGCTCATCTTAGTGAAGCTATAAGTCACTATAACTTCCATATAACCATGGACCAGCATCTTTTCTATGTTTTGAGTGTATAATCATTCTTGATCAGTTGTTGAAAAAAACTCTGAATATATCTTAGACTTGAAATTAGTGAACTGGATTCTTATTTCATATTTTGAACAAGTATCCACACAGATCAAAGTCCAAAAGTTACAAGAGTATAAAGTGAAAAATCTTTCTTTTACCTCTGTTCTCCTGCTGCCCAGCACCTCTCCCCTGAAGAAATTAATTCAATTAGTTTTGTGAATATCCTTATTTTACCCAAATTTTGTGGCTATAGTGAGTAGGATTGTAAACTAGCTTTCTAAATTGAGAATAAATAAACCTCATCTTGGCCCTGTGGCAACCTGTCCTTCTGGAATACATCCTGTTCTACAAAACTTTTATGAATCAGAAGTTCAGGTTTTATTATTCTGATGAGTATAGTGTGAGCTGTTCTCAAGGAGAAAAAGAATGGGAAAAACAACTAGAATAGACAGGAACATATGTATTTTTTTAGTGTTAATATTGCAACAGAATTTCATGCCATCAAACCAATCTCTGCTAAACGAGGTTATACTGTCAAGTTTTAAAAATCTGATTTCCTAAGGAAACTATAACTGCTTCTATCAAGATTATAAAATCATAGCCTTAATAAGTGCTCAGTCATATATATATGTATACATATATATGTGATTGAAACTTCACAACAATCAAATAAAGCACATTTCACAGATGAAGAAAACAAAGAACAGGCAAATTTTCAAATTTGGGCTGGGGCTCTGAACCCCTTACTCTTAATCTGCATGATACTCACTACCCATTCTGATAGAGAAAAGCCAAAAGAAGGCATGTGATAATACTTTTTGTTTCTAGTTCTTATTTATTAAAAAATTTTCATTCTCAAATTTTAAGATACACCAAAATTACCCATGATATTTAAATGCAGATACCCAGGCCTCACTGACATAAAGTATTAGAATCTCAGGGGAAAGGGCTCCAGGAATGCTTATTTTAACCAGCACTTACAATGACAGGCAGATGATTCTTAAGCTGGTGTTTTGTAAGCATAGTCTGACAAATGTCACACCTGTGATAGTTTGTTTTCCAAGTTAGCCTCAACCATATCTCCCAACACACATACTCTGAGTTTCTAGAATCTTGCCACGCTACTTTAAAGAGGTGGAGTCCAACTCCCCTGCCTTTGAAACTGGGTGGGCTTTTGTAACTTACTTGACAGGTAGATTTTGAGGTAGTGATCTATGTAACTTGCAAGGCTAGGCCCAAAAGGTGATTCGGCTTCTGCTTCTGGTTTTGCTAGCTAGAACACTCACTCTTGGAACTCAGCCACCATGCAGTGAGGAAGCCCAAGGTGCCCCAGGTAGAGGCCCATTTGGAGAGGAACTAACAGCCAGCACCCATTTGCCAGCTATGTGAGCCATGCTGGAAGTGGATCTTCCCCCAGTCAAGCTGCCCAAACTGGTGCAGCATGGAGCAGAGATGTGCCTTCCCTGCCAAGTCCTGCCCAAATTGCAGATTCAAGAGCTAAATCAACGATTGTTGTCATTTTAAGCACTAAGTTTGTTAGGGAATAATACACTTTTTTTTTAATCCTCATCCAAGGACATGCTTATTGATTTTAGAGAGACAGGAAGGGAGAAGAAGGAGAGGAACATTAATGTGAGAGAGAAATGCCCATTGGTTGCCTTTCCTAAGGTACTCCAACTGGGGACCAAACCCACAAACTAGGTACATGCCCTGACCTAGAATCAAACCCACAACATTTTGGTTTGTGGAATGATGCCCAACCAACTTTTCTTCAATTTCCTCATTTCTTCAATGTGCTTTTTTCTTATAGCTTAATGCCACTCCACAGGCTACTTTCTATTACTCTTACCCCATCCTTTAGGCCTCCACTTCTCCTTCGGGAAGCCTTCTCTGACCTCTTGAGCAATTATTGCCTCTCTGTCCTCAAATAGAGGTCCTTGGAAGACCTCTATTTACCTCATTCTATTCTACCTCATTACCACTTCTATTAAGACCTCAATGTATAGTCCTTAATACATTGGATTGTAACTAATTGTTTACTTCTCTCTTCTCCACTGGACTCTAAATTCCTGGAAGGCAGGGTCAGATTCTTTGTATTCTCACCCCCTAACATAGCACCTGGCACATCTTCACTCATTCACTATGTCTCTGTACCACTGTGCTAGAAAACACTGTAGTTAAGTGTTAAGGGAGGGGTCCATGTTTTGGCAGGCCTGTCTGGGTACAAAGCAGCTCCATTTTCTCCTGCATAACTTTGGAAAATGCTAGTTATTGTCTCTGAGCCTCATTTGTGAGGTAGAGACCACACCTTTTTAAGACTGCTGTGAAGGTGAAGTAAAATATCAGCAAAAAGCCCTTCACATAGCAATCAACCATCAGGATGCCACGGAATGCTTCCCCAACAATCCCATTTTTGGGCACCGTCACTCTAATCCTCCTTAAATCCCGGCACGCAGTGGGTAATTCCTCTAAGGGATTACTCTGGGCTCTCTAATCCTCTCTTTGGTCTAGATGACAACTCTGCATCTCCAGCCGTTCAGAAGCCATTCTTCTTCCCTGCTGCCAACTGTCTCCAAACCCTTCTCTTTTAGTCTTCCCCCGTCTAAGAGGTGCGTCAAACTACCGATTTAAGCAAACTTTGAACATCAAAACTCTCTGGCTCGGGTTTTTCTGGGTAACTTGCGAGACCCAGTTAAAAAGCTTTGCTACCCAGTTTTGGTCTTAAGCCCCTAGTGAGGAGGGAGTCAGCATTTAAAATTGACCGGTTGTCGTTCGTTCCATGAAGCACCAGCCTAGGCCGTGAGCAATGAACGAACGTTGAATGAACAAACGAACGAAAGAACGGGCTACGTCGGCGGCAAGGCATCTGTTACCTCCCCTCCGGTGCGGGCGTGGCAGCGGATTGGAGGCCTGTGGAGCGCGGGCCTCCCAGTCCCACCGTCGCACAGCAGGCTCCATCAAGAGCGCCGGAGCTCCGCCCCGCCTCCCCTAAATTCCTGCCTCAGCGCTTTGCGTCACTTCCGCCACCTCTGGCCAGGGCTGGGCGGGGAACGCGGGGGAGGGGGCGAGGTTTGAGGGAAGCCCGCCCGCGTCAACGCCCGAGCAGGGACTACATTTCCCGAGGGGCCTCAGCGGCGGTGGCGGAGGGCGCGGCAACGTCCCCCGGAAGTGGAGCCTGGGACTTCCACTCGTGCGTGATCTGAGCGGAGCCGGAGACTAGACCGGAGGCCGAACTTGGGATCTGACAAGATGGCCGGGCTGCCCCGCAGGATTATCAAGGTAACCGTCCAGGCCGGCCTCGGGCTCCCTCCTCTTCTCGTTCCTGCTTGGCGGATCGGAAGGCGCAGCCTCTCTCTTCTGCCGTTCCGCGCTACGAGGCCGGAGGCAGCACGGAGAGGGTTTGGCCGGGGCAGCGAGGGAAGTCTGGCGCTGGGGAGGGGGCGCGGGGAGACTTCCGGCCGCGGTGGGGCAGCCAGGCGGCGGAGACCCTGGGCTTCCAGGGGCCCCCTGAGAGCGGGGAAGGTCTGGTCCGCGACCTGGTGGAGGGTGGGGTTGCGGAGTTCTGGTCTTGGGCGCGGGCCTCCGCGGTCTTTCAGACCACCCACGGGCGGAGAGTGCGGGCGCGCGGGAATCGCGGCGGGGCCCGGACTCTGAGCGGGGGTTGTGGCCCGACACGGGCTCTCGGTCCCAGATTCTCCTCTCGGTCCTGGCGGGAGTGCGGGGGTGCAGCAGCCCTAGCTTCAGAATGAATGAATCGGAAAGGTGAGGCCGGGCCGGGCCCTGCACCCCGGGAGGGCCGCGCGTCCTGCCGCGGTTGGCACATGCTTATCCTTGGCATCCGGGGCACGGGGACCTGGGGGCTCTGCGCCCTAGCTTCCGCGATCTCTTTTTAAAATACGTTTCCGCCCGTTATCTCCGCGAAGTGATTTTACTCTGGTTTGCAAACTCAGAGGTTTCTGTTCAGAGGAAGTTCAATACAGGACTGGGGTGCGCAGGAATGGGGGACTTTCAGAAATCATTTGCCTTTAGATTTTATGTGCTTTAATTATTGGACCGACCTTCGGCTATTTGTTAATACTGTACTTCGACAAGTACATATGGAACGATGAAAAATTCGGAATCCTGGTTTTGTAAATTGCTTACGGTCAATATCGTCAAGTTCTCTCCTGTGAAATGTTACTTGCAATTCACAAAAACAAAACTTTGAATTTTTTGGTCAGTTTTAATTAAGACAATGAGTTGAATTTCTTTGTTGTTCAGTACAAGGTGGGACAAAAATAGGTTTACAGTTGTGAATATGCAAAACAGTTTATTCTGTTATTTCGTATTAACTATTGTATTTTCCATACGAACAATTGTAAACCTACTTTTGCCCCACCCTGTATGTGAGTTAAGTTGACTAAACTGCAGCATCACTGCTTGATACAACCTGATGACCGTGTAATTTACTCTAGTTTGTTTCCAGGTTTGGAGGAGATGCATACTAAGTGAAAGACCTGTTGAAGGATGATGTATTGGGTAGTTCTGTATGTAATTACAATTAAATATATGAGATTGGTGGGGGGTGTCTGACCTAAAAGTGCTCGATTTAGAGAAATAGGACTGTTTCTGATGTAGAAATTCTAATACTGCAAACCTTCATAGTGTGACATTTGTTGTACTGTATTATAGTTTGGTCTCTGATTTTTGTCCAAGGAAGTTTAATTGCCGTATGCATTGGAATAGCCATGCAGTGTCGTTTTAGTTACAGTCCAGTCACATGACTCCAATTGTTATGTTTATTGAGGCCCCAGTTGAAAATTACGGGTGGAGGATAGAACTGTACACCAAATAGACTCGAATAATTGTTTACTGTTTTTCAGGTTATTGACTAAGTACATAATATAAATTGGCATTCAAGATATTCTCCAAAGCACATTATGAACTGACGGCTTAATATATAGTTTTCCATTTTTGCTTGATGCTGGAGATACTCTGCAGTAACATGAAAGCCTTGGATGGAAAAATAAATTCTGTATAACCTTGTTTAAGGTGATAATGATTTAAGGTAACAGTTGAAGTGCTCAATTCGATTCACTTCCCACACAATAATTTAGGCGAGACATTTATTTTTTACTATACATATATCCAGACAGTGATAACTTGTATAATTTTAATTTTACAGTATTTTGAGAGCATCTTTTGAATGAAAGGTGCTCTGATTTGGATTTTATTTTGTAAAATGTAGGTGGTTTTACTTTAATGCTATTTATATTATAGCTTAAAAGAACTGCTCTACCCAATCCCTAGGAAGGATTAAAAGATTTTACTGTTTTTTTGTGGAGGGTTTTTTTTTTTAGTGCCCATATTTGTATATTATGCAGAGACTGAAAATGAATTTTTTTTTAAGTTGCCTCTTTGACAATCACAATACAAATTTCTTTGTGAAGTATAATGGTTGTGATAGTGAGGGTATAATAACTCTACTGTCCTGAATAATAGGAACATACTATCTATCATTGGACAACTATGGTATGTTCCTATCTACCTCAAAATGGCCATTATTTACATTTGCAGAATTCTTCAGGTATTTGCTGCTTGCTGGAATTTTGTGAAGTAGACAATATGTTTTATAGTTTAGAAACCCACTTTTAAACCCATTTCTCGTGTCTTAAAACTGGCAAAAGGGAGAATTTGAATCTTGACTCAGTATGACCTCCCCCAGTCTCTTGTTATTTTGAAATGAAATAATATATGTAAAAGTACTTTGAGACCTGTAAGTATACAAATGTAAGAATTACTGTTCATCCAGTTGGATTCCGATTTCCAATCCAGTAGCAAATTTTGTAGGCTCTACTTTCAAAGCATATCCTGAATCAGACCAATTTCCCTATCTCTGAAACTTTTGTTCAATTCCATCATTTGTTGCCTTGATCTACTATATTTAAAAATAAGGATCATGTCACTCCCCTGCGCAGAACTTTACGAACGTTCTCCATGATATTTAGAATAAAATCTTGACTTCCCTCCACCCTCACCTACAAGGTCCTCCAGCAACTGGGATCTGCCTGCCTCTGAGATTATATTCTGCACTTCACTCCTTGGGTTGCTCCACTTCAACTACATTGTTGCATTGCTATATCCTGTACACTGGAACCTCCTTTGTTCCACTCACAGGGCTTTCCTTCTGTCTATTGCATTGTTTTGTCATGTTGTTCAGTTCTTGACTCAAATGTCATGTCCTTCTAAAGGTTTACCTTAAGGTTCCTAAAACAGTTTCCCTCTCCCCCTCCCCCTAGTTTTATCTTCATCCTCCTATTCCCCTCTCTTTTGTCCAGTACTTAACACTGCTCCCAGTTATATTATTTACTTTTTATCTTTACTCCTACTGAAGCTGCATTAAGGCCGGGACTCTGGGATGATTTGGGCATTCCTCTAATGCCTAGAATACATAGTAGGCACTGATAAATTGCTTGATTGAATGGATGTACTTCAATTTCTTTGGAAGAAAGTCAGGAAATGTACTCCATATCGTAACTTGACATTGTTACTGCTTAATAGATTCTATATGAACTGATCACTGATCTAAAAGTCAACCTGAAATTTCAACCATAAATTCATTAATAAACAAAACAAGTCAATCATTTATTTTGTTACTTAGAAATAAATAGACCATAACATTTGAAAGGTTCTAAAGGGTGCATAAAGGAAAATTTAAGAGCCTCATCTGTCCTTCAGTATTCCAGTTCTCTTCCCGAGACAACCACTGTTCTTATTGTGTACCCTTCCAGAAAGACCAGAGAGACTTAGTGGAACCTTGTGGTTAGACCTTAATACAATTAATTGCTTACTGATAACTTTTAGATCGTTCCCAAAATTTTGCTATACAAACAATGCTGTAATGAATAGTCTTATATATAGTGGTATTTTGCATGTGTGACTTAATACTGAATCTTGGTAGTTCTGTGTTCAGCTAGATGTTTTAGAATTTTCTTTTTTCTCTCTTTCCTCCAGGGCCAAAGCTCAGTCCCTAAAGTGACTGAGCAATTAAAGCTTAAAGTCCTATAGGTTAAAGGGTACCTAAAATAAGAGATCGTCCCTAATCCCTCTGTTACAAAGAAGAACTAGAGTTATTTTGGGAACAAATAAATGAGATGGGTAGTTGTGGCTTGGTTAAAAACATTTTAGCTTGTTGCTTTGGCAGAGTGACTTTCCTTTGTCTTCTCAAAATTAATCATGAAAATAAAATATAACCTTAGAAAACCATAGTTAACTTCCTCAAGGAATTGACTTACTTGATTAAAACCTAGGAAACTAATCTGAAATTAGAATCTCATCATTTTTCCTAAAATTTTTCTGTTAGGTTTAGTTTCAAGTTCTTAAAAACCTGACATAGTCTGACTTTGCATTGAGACTTGAGTTCTATTTGGTTTTTCCTTTAATAATTTTGATATTAAAAATACAGGTAGCATTTTTTTCCCTATTAATTTAGAAGCTGCTTATTTAATATGTATCATAGTACATAATGTAGTTTTTAGTAAGAAAAGTGATTCAGAAAATAGCCTTTTTTAAGCTCTGAAATCCTTGGCTGATAATGTGTTCCTCTCTACTCCCCATTTTAAAAATGTCATGAAAAACTTATGATGAAGATGGACTTTTTATAAATTGTAATTAAAACACCCTTAGGAAACAGGTGAGCTCACAGTAAAAATTTGACTAGGAACAGTGTGGTTCTTAGCTCTTTCGTTTGTCCCGATTGAGTTTTCTGACCTTCCTAGGACAACAGATTTTTTTTGCATATGACTTTTGGAGATTCAGATTCTTGACTAGCTTATTTGCTTATTTGTGAATTCCTTCTGTCTCCATGGATTTCAGGTTAAGAATCCCTAGTCTGTTTTTGGTAATGATTAAATGTTCAGGCTGTAAGGATATTGTTTAATATACTACCTAATGTTTTGATTATGAAATATGAACATAATTGAAAGTAAGCTAAAAATAGTAGTTTGTTGAGTGTCAAGCACTTTCTTCAGTTCAGATTGATCAACTCTCACACAATAGAAATTGAGTTTTGTCATTATCAAGCACTTTCTGAGTATCCACCATGCTAAATGATGATGGCATCAGAAATGTTACGTATTTATTTTGTGGAGGTTCTTAGTTTTTTTCACACTTATGACCATTTACAGCCATGGAGTTTTACAGAGTAAAGAACATCATCCTTTTTCTTTTCTGATGAGTTTGTAGGCCAAAGAAGTTGGATCACTGGGAGTCCCGGCCTACAAGTCAGTACCTTTGCATTT